GAAGTAGAAAGCCAAAAAGATTTTTCTCATTAATTTTTTGGGTTTTGAAAACAGAAAAGCATTATTTTCAGAAAGATTAACCGTCTAAGTAGAGCTAAGTATATGTATTTCTTTTTATCCGTTGACTATTAAAATTTTATACAAAATTCATGAATACAAGTTACTGACTAATTGGACTATTTCATTCATTTCAGAAGATTCTCTATTGATTTAGCATTGTTTATTTTTCAGATTGTGGAAGGTTATACACTCAAAAAACTGACAAACTAGTTTTTCCATGTCTTTATAGCAGTCACATCCAATTATACCATACATCGAATGGAAATTACCTTTATGCGTTTTTTGCGGCATCAACTACTAAGCTCATAATTCTCTTATTCTAGCAGGTATTTTGTGGGCAAACTATGAAGCATCATGGCTATTCGCAGTGCCATCAGCCATGAGACGTAACAGAAACAGTCCGCGAGAAAAATATCTGATCGAAGGGGGATTCGAACTCACGATCTTTGGATCGCGAATCGAGCATACTACCACCTGCGTGACTGATCATTTATTGTTTGGCACCTACACTGTTAGAAGTTTAGCTTTTTTAACATGCTTTTATTAGCTTCATCTGTATGTATGTATGTATGTATGTTTGTAACTCTCAAGCTCGGGATCTGTATTTTACAGAATTATCGACATTATTGCTTGATCTATTCGCGGGCAGACGGCGCTGAACGTAACATCCTTGATATAATTCGAACTCACTTTACATGTATTTCTTCATTTGAAAAACCCTCCTTTGCGTGCCTGTTGCCTTCCTTGGGCTTGGTAGCTGATTTTTAGGCTCCCTCTCCGGAATCGGAAAATATCAATGGTCATTTTTTTTCTGAACAATATACGGCTAATTGATTCCAACGTTTGGATATAATAAATATAGTTTAAAAAGACTGAAAAACACGCTTTTATAGCATACGAAACTAAAAAATGAAAAATAAATATATTTAAAAAAACTAAAAAACGCGCTTTCAAAGAACATCGAACTTCAACTTTTTAGTTCGATGTTCTTTGAAAGCGTGTTTTTTAAACTATATTTATTATCATTGAGTCTTTATTACGCGACACGATTATGTTGTCTATTCTGATATAACTTACTATTCTAAGAATTTTTGTGATGACCTACAAATGCACTTGTATTCAATAAATATCTGCATATTTCCACTTATATGAACAACGTTTCAGGATTTCTGAAAAATGTTAAATGTGATTACGTTGACAACTGGGAAAAACATTGTACCTATTACATTGAAACATGAGTGAATCAATCATTGTTTACTTACTTCAAACGCAGCCAAAAAAAATTAAATTGGTCTTTTGGTATGTTTATGATCAATTTTCAGGTATGAGGCGGATTTAATAACGTCTTGCAAAATTGAGCAAAAATATGCACAATTTATAAATTCATCAAGCTGTGAGTTTTGCATATAGAAGATTCTCAGAAACGAATAAGAACATACGAGAAAATCAATTTAAAATTTGTTTGGACTGATGAATTAAACTGTGTTTTGACTGATAAATTAAAATTCAAATGTAAGGAAATATTCAGTCGTCGGATAAATTTCAGCAGTCACCGATAATCACCATGTCACCAGAAAAAAGTTAAATTCACATAAATTTAGTTTCGTTTCATTTTGTTTGCTAATAGATTATTTATAAACATTAAAACAAATTTAATATTTTGAGATTTTTTACTTTTTTTTTTCACTAAATTGTGTCAGTGTTGTTGGTATTAGTATACAGTTCGGACATTTGGTCACCGCATAAGCGCAGTAGTTATACAGTAAACTTTTGGAGATCGGTGTGCTAGAATATGCCGAGGCATTCTTTACATCACACTTACAAGGTGCTAAGTGACTTTGAAGAAACTGACCACCAGTAACATACAAAGCCACCATTGATCATGTATTATCGCCGATTACTTATTATCTTTATTGCTTTCAAATATTTGGACTAGCTTATAGAGGAGTCCAGAAGAATACCAGAAATCATTAGGTATAGTCGAAGTAACGTATATTGTAAATAGTTAAAGCTGTCGTCATCTCAAAGGCCAAAAAAAAACCAATACGCCGTTGCCAACAAGTCCACGTAGACTGAAGAATTGGCGTTTCGTATTGTATAATTTTTACTAATCGAGTTTTACGATTGGCCGAAGAGTCATAAAATTAAATTTGAAGTCATGTTACGGTGTGACGAATAGAAATCGGGAATGCGGAGATGGTTATCGCCGTCGTGTTCAGTTCAGTAACTGATCGCGATTTGAATGTTGAAATTTGATATTGGTGCAGTCATAATTACTTAAAATTTTTGTTATCTGTTTAAAATGTGGCGTCCTTGGAGAAGTACTAATAGTAATAACGAGTGTGATAACAAGGCAGACTTTTTCCTGTGTAGTGATTCCAACAGCGATGGTGAACAACGCGAAAAAGAGATATCAGTGAACAAGATTCGGATGCATTTGAATATTTAAACACAGAGAGTATGTTTCAATGTATATAAGAATCTAGATCTCAAGTTTGGTTTCGAGGGAAACAAAGTGACGTATTCCTGAAACGATTTTAAGAAAAGAGTATATATGAACGTGTGTCCGAAAATGCTTCGTATCGGAAATACGGGGTGTTGAAATTGAATTTTTTTTGTTCGTTTTTCGAAAATAACTCTTGCAAAAAACAAGTTATTTGCACGAAATTCGGTACCCAGGATTTTTTGACGTGGGAAATCATAATTTTGTATTTTAATTTTCATGTAACATCTAGAGGTCGCTGCGTACGCTGTAATTATTTATTTCAAATTGCCCTAACTTTTTTGACACTAAACTAGTAACTTTTTTGACAGTAAATTAGTTAGCTTTCTAACTATATTATTAAAGGGGAACTGTTGACAGGTAGGTTGCACTGAAGTTTATTCCCAAAATCAAATTATTTCTAGGAAGAGGAATCGATAACATAAATTCAAAAAATGTCGTTCCAAATTCCAAAGTTGAGGATTCAAGTGAAATGTGAGCACTAATTTCAGTTCATTTTGAAGGATGTAAGAGGTCTTGGGCATTTATAATAATAATAATAAGTCGTTAGAGGAGTCGCTGAATGTAAAGAGAACCTGCTTATCGATAGATGTGTAACGCAAGACTCGAAACAGTATAAGTATAAGCTCTCTATGGCCTGGATCGATTACAGCAATGCATTGGATACAACATCGCATGAGTTCATCATATTGAATTGGCTCAGATGCCTTGTGGTGCCCGAAAAAACAGTGAGATGCCTTGAACGACTGATACCACTTTAGCGGACTGGCTTTACCATAACATCTGCAGGCTAGAGTCCAAACAGGGTGGGTCACTCTCAAAAGAAGTGTATTTCAGGATAATTCCCTCAGTCTCTTTTCTGCATCTCACTATTGGCATTATCTGTTGCGGTTAGAAATACTCGAGGGTATAACTGTGGCACCCCCGGAAACCGGGGGCATAAGGTCACCCATTTGTTTTATATGGGTGATCTTAAACTTCATTCCCCCGGAGAAACGGATCTACATCAGTCTTTGAGGGTGGTGGAAGAGTACACGCATGCTATGGGTATAAATTTCGGGATAGACGAATGTGCAATGGTTTATCTACAAAATAAAAAATGCGAGCACTACGGTGAGGATGTGCAGCTCGTAGATGGATGCATTCTGCACCATCTAGATGCCAGAGAGACGTATACTTATCTCAGGGTAGAATAACGCCACTCACAAGAGGTAACAGCAGTGAAGAACTCTCTCCGCGGCAAGTATTGGCACAAACTCCGCCAGATCTGATCATTGGAACTATCGGAGAAAAAGAAAGTCACTGCATCTCAAATCGTGCGTTCCATGGTTGTCGAGACATCGATGTTGTCGTACGCTCCGAGGTGATATTGAACCTGTTGTGGGGAGTGAAAAGTGTCGAATTTATTGGAACTGTTCATTTCCCACTCTTAGGCACATACAAGCTAATAATCCTGATATAGTTCTTCTCGACTATCCAACCAAGACAGAGAGAAGGAGAAATTGATGAAATGTCGAGATTTTCGCTTCGAACTTCGCAGACTCTATCCGTCAAGATAGTAGTTGTGATTATTGGAGTCCTTGGTGGAATAATGCCCTCTCTAGTTTCGAATCTCAAAATCATGCCGGTTTGCAGCATTCAGGCAGAAATCTTAGCTGGACTAGTGCAGAAGGCCGTTATTATTGGCTCTTATGCGCCTGCTTAGAGCACATGATCTCGGACCCAATGATCACTTACCCCACGGTATGAGGGGTGATCATTGGTTGATAAGGTTGGTGAAAATCAGAATATCTATGCTAGTTTTGTTCAACAAGCGAATAAATAGTAAAAAACATTAAAAAATTGGATCCAAGTATCCAAAAAATAAAACTACCACCTATTATTGAAAGCTTCCTCTGATAATAGTTCTTCAAATGGAAAATTAATTAAGTCTCATTTCATGTTTCTGAGGTCAGAATCTGAATTTCGAGTTGTTTGCTGGGTTTTAAATATTCTCTTCCTATTTTATTGAAGTTCCAAAAACCGTGTTCTGAATTTTTATATTTTGTATATACCTAATTTCTATTCGCTATTTTTTTTTTGTTATGATAGGATCATATGTAACTACAACACATGTAAAAAAATTAATTACTCACAAGAAGAGAAGCGTTTGTGGCATACCCTTTGTCTATACGGTTATAAAGAGATCAACAGTACTTATATTCAGTCATTTGAAATACATTTCAAGCTATAATTATTTCCCATATAAAAGTCAAATTATCTTATTCTTATTTCTTCTGATCTTATATATTTAAATATCTGTGGATTTTTATATCAATACGAGTGGGTTATGACAAATTCATTATTTAATGAGGTCACGTCAAACCTATTTTTGAAAATTTTTTGGAACAATAACATTGGCAACAACCACATAAGCATATAAAATAATGGTACTTACCGGCCATTTTCGAGAAAACTGAAGCAGATCGTGACGAATTCGAAAAGAGAATGAAACCGTTACCTTGAAATCTTATCTATATGTAAAAACAGATGTGAATCATTAGCATATCAGTAAAGGTGGAGTGGAGTAATTACAGCACTAGATAAACACGTAAAGGTAAACACTGATTTTTGTTTTACAGCGAATATCGGAAAATAACCAACAATATGAATTTTGGAACCCGTGGCCTTGGACGTCTGGTCACGTCAGTCATACCGTCTCGCAGATTTGGTAAGACCAGAACGGCTTCAAAGTTAAATCCGAAACGTCGAACAATTCAAAACTTTGAGCGCGGTTCAACCCGAAATTCAGATGTCAAATTTCTAACCGCGAAAACCTATTGTATTTGTATACTTATCTGGTGATATTTCGAAAACTTTATCCATCTTCATTATCAAACCTACGATCAATTTGATATTATCAGAGTCAATAATAATAATGTCAAATTAATTTACTTCATAAGACGAATTATAACTACAAATTATGTTTTGATTTAAATAGGTTGGATAAAGAAAATTGATAGTAATGTCAAAAAAGTAAATAGGAAGAGAAATATGAAAAATTAAGTATATAATCTAATAATCCCTAAACAAATTGACTTACAAAATAAACATTACACTGAGGCAGAAAGATGAAATTCATTGTTACCTAAAGAAATGCATAATATCAAGAATATACAAAACAGAAAAAATTGGAAGGAGATTTTGAACCAATTTATTCACAACGTTTCTCATTCAAATAATCCCTGAATTAAGCAGTTAATTAGACGTCTTTTGATGGGTACATATCGGGCATTGAAAGGTAATACCTCGTGAATCATTAATCAGTACAAGTTACGCCTTCTGAGGGTTGATGCTCTTAAGGGAGCGACCGCTAGTTAACGGAAACGTACATTTTAACACACTAGGAAAACTAGAATTCATGTGCTTCGTTAGCCCTAAAGTGAAATTTTGCAGCTGAACTACTCCAGTTAGTACAGCAGTAGCTCTAGCAGTACTTATAAATAAAATGAGTTCCAAAAAAAGTTAACAAGTATCAATGAAAACTGTTTAAAAAATGTGTGTTCCTTCCATAAATTCTGAAAATTTCCTATAGTATAAAATAATTTTCAAATTCGAAGTATTAGTTGGAAAACTTGTTTCAGTAATAAATCGATAATCCTTTCATAAAAACCCCTCTAATAAAATAATACGCTATTCATCAGGTTTTACTCGAAATTCGAAAGAAAAAATCTTACTGAAAAAAAAGTTAAAGGCGTTTCTGATAAGATATTCTTTATTGGGGTATTAAGTTGAAAGTGAAAACAAAGCAATTATCAATTATTTGATGAGGTAGTTTAGAAAATTAAAAAACCTGATAGAAAATAAGATACTGAAACCAATATAAACTTAAAGTACCTAATTGTAAAATTAACGATATTGCATTGAGTAAAACTCAAGTAAACCATATTAGGAAATAATTTATAAAATACTGAAACTGCTGAAATTGAATATTTTTAAAGGAAGAACGCTATTGTTATTACACTCAGCCATAAGCTGAATTTTATCTGAGGTGGATAACTGATAGATGTTCACCTCAAATTTGAAACCTATCAGGTTTTATAGGAAGTCTTCCATACCTGATTGAGAAATAACTTTGAAAGGGTGTATTGAAAAGAAGTTCTAGTATCATAGTATAAAGATAATACGATAGTACCTCTGAAATTGAATGAATTCAACACAAACACACCTACACACCAGAATTGCAACACTATTCTCGACGCGCGTGATAACCAAGTTGGTATCATCAGGAAATGAACTTTACTATTTCCTCAACACTAATTTCGCCTATTCATATCTAATGGAGTGAACCTCCATCTAGATACAACTTTTTTCATGTTGGATGTAGAGACAACAAACATATTGTTAATGTTGTTTTATCACCACTGTAAGTATTCAAGTGACACTTTATTGTGAGATTTCACAATACAATAGCTGTGTTCATAGAGTATAAAAACTTCTAACATTATGAAACATTTCTGTGTTAATTTCGTTAGCATCTCTTATTATATTCATGAGCTTGCATTAGATTGCGGTTGCGTAACATATATTTTAGATTTCACGAATTCCCACAAAAAATCCGAGGGCGTCTTATCAGGTAACCTAGCGAGTCATTCTAAGAGACCATGTTTTCCTATCCACCTGTTTGCATCTAGCCACTTTCGAATCAGTCTGTTATGATGAAGAGGTACCTTACTTTGCAGAACTGTAAAATCAGTTGAAAACTCATTTGGCTTTTTTAGAAGTTGTTGCAAAATTGAAACTATCACACAAGAAAATGATTTTAGGCGGCCTGACAAACCATTGCGACAGATCTGATGAAGAAAGATTCCAATTGCATTGGTTTTGTTTTCCGTAGTGAACAGATTTTAAACAGACAGACAGATTTTGAAGGTTGAGGTGTGTCTTTACTTTTTGTTGTCTATTAGTAGATATATTTTCACCTTTTTCAAAATTAAAATTGATAATTGAAAGCATACTTTGATCAAGCGAATTTTATCAAAAAACAGATTAGTTAATAGCTGAGGCCTTTGCTCGAAGAGTTCAAATGAGATAATATAGTTGAAATGAGAGTATAAATTTTAATTCATAAGGGGTCAACGGAACTTGCGCTATATATCTTTATCAATTGGGAGCCTCATCCACACTAAAAGGACTTCGAATGGTCCACAATGTTTCAAAACATCCCACAGTAATAAAGACTGTTCTGAGATGTTTCACAATGATCTGGTATGTTTCGGTATATTTCCGAAGGTTTCACACTATTCTCAAACATTCCAAAATATACCGGTATGTTCTGGAATGCTCTTGGTAAAACTTCCTCATCTCTTCACAAGCAAGTTATCCAGATAAAAACGAGAAACTTTTTCATGGATTAGGCATAGAGAATTACCACATCATATAATTAGCTCCCTTTATCGTGTGAATATTAGTGAATCCATCTTACCATCGAATTACTCTGAGTGTACAATTATAATTTTTTTTTAAATAACAGATTGTACTCATGCTATTTTTACTACTTGTTGATTCGTTTTTGTGAAACTATTGAATACATTTGGCATTTCCATTCTCTATAATGGTTAAATGCTAATTGGATTATAATACTCACAGTAGCGGCGTTAGGGCGCGGTTGGACCTACTTACTCATAAATTCCCTAAATTTAGCGAAAAAATCATTATGTTGGCAACACTAGAATGGAACGCAGTGTTCAAATCGAAGCACTGCACTGTGGCTACCCCTGTATCTACATGAAATATATCCTTCAATTCATTAGCAATTATGTTACCTATTTTTTGTTTTCCCTAACTATGAGTATGGTCCTCTCGAATAATGTGCCAAAACAAAAAAAAAGAATAGCAAATGTGTCTGTGTGTAACGTATTTAAAAAACACTTTATTGTGAGATTTTCACTAAACGATTTTATAAAAACGCAACATGTGTTTCGCCATACAATGGCTTCTTCGTGCGTAGAGACACGCCCGAACGATTTTATAAAAACGCAACACGTGTTTCACCATACAATGGCCCTTCACCATACAATAANATTGCAGAATTCATCGACAACGAAAAAACAAATATGGTGCAACATGTCAGAAGGGCACTAACCCACATCTTCATTAATGATAGCTGAATCTCAACGTGCAGCAAACACATCAAATGAAAGGGAAACGAATGCAGAATTCATCGACAGAAAAAAAGCAAATCTGACGCAACATGTCAGATGGGCACAAAGCTACATTTCCGTTATTAATTGTCAAATCGTCACGTACAGCACGTCATCGACAGAGAAAAAACAAAGATGGCGCAGTATGGCAGAGTGACACTAAGCAACATCTTTGTTAATGATAGTTGGATCTCAACGTGCAGCACATCAAATGAAAGGGAAACGAATGCAGAATTCATCGACAGAGGAAAAAAACAAAGACGACGTAACATGTCAGAAGGGCAATGAGCCGTATTTTCGTTAATAATGATTTTTTCTCAACGTGCAGCACATCAAATGAAATGGAAACGAATGCAGAATTCATCGACAGAGAAAAAACAAAGATGGCGCAACATGTCAGAAGTGCACTAACCTGCTTCTTCGTTAATATTATTTGGATCGTCATGTATGATACGTCAAATGAAAGGAAAACGAATGCAAAACTCGTCGACAAAGAAAAAAGAAAGATGGCGCAATATATCAGAAATGCACGAACCCGCATCTTCGTTAATAAAAGTCGCATCGTCACGTGCAGCATATCAAAGAAAACACAAAAGAGGCAACCAAAAAGGCACTGAACCATATTTTCGTTAATAATAGTCGGATCGTCGCATTTGACATGATTCATTCACTCAAGACTGAAATGTTCAGAAGATACCAACGGAGATCTTACGTTGACTATAAGTTCTGGTATGCTTTGTTAGGTATCGAATGATGCGTGCAATTTCGTTAATTCCAGCGACATGATTTTCCCAAGACATATTGGTGTCCATTCGAACTCCAACAAACTTATTGAAGCAGAAGGTGGAACCCCAAAAAATAGGAGATATAGTACAGTAGGAGGTCAATGCCGGTTTGGCGTCATTTTGACTTCGCGTAGTCGGATGGTGAGTTGGATGGCGATGGTCCAGCAAGAAGTCGTTGGTCATTGTCGTCGGTGGTGGTGTAGAAGAGTAAGACAACCCCTCAGCGAGGTTTGTGGGGTGGTG